AATTTAGGAAAGTATTTTTTTTTAAAGGTTGACAAAATTTATGGTAACACTCTTCTTAATCTCAGATATTCACCGTAGAAAAATATTTCCTTGGGAAAAATTAACCTAGGTTTTTAATTAAATTTTCAAAGGTTTTTTAATGTCAGAGGAACGAGAAATCTCTATATTTGAAAATTTCACCCTTTTAACACTTTCGTGACCAAATCATTCTTTTCTAAGAATTTCTTATGTATTATTCTACCAATTATTGTTTGCAATGCACACTAAATTCGGGTGAATTTTTATTTGTAGCACTGAAACGCGACGTACGCAACATTATCGAGTGTATTCGTAAATAAAAATTAGAATAGCAAATTTGCATAGACGTTCTCTTTTCATATTACGTATCAGCTTTCCCGTGTAACCAACTGCACGAAGTCTAATTTCAGACATTTGTACACCGATTTACGTGGTTCCGGTTCACGGGAGGGGAGGACGAAAAAATCTCGGTACCGCTGGAGAAAGATGGCCGTTTCAATGTAAACAACTTTTGCACCGCGTTCGTACGTCTAGCGGCCATTGGACAGCTAAATGACGCCACTTACGAGAGGAACTCGGGCCCGTGAGCCAAGGTGTACAGCATAGACGACCGACGACGGCGACGAGGACGACGAGGACGGTCGACGACGGGTGGTGCAGAGCTTTCACTACAATTACGGAAAATTGCGCTCCGCTCGTAACAGTTGTTTTTCAAGCGTTACGAACAGCTTATCCGCCGCGACGCCCCGTAATCCTCGACAATTGGAGCGAACGCGGGAACACGCCGCTCGAGAGAGCGCTCGCCTAAACGCGCCGGTATGCCGATTTTTCTGCAATTTTTCCGCTAGTTGAAAGGACACTTAATTGATTGCTATTGAAAGTCGTTTATGATGTTTCAGGTAGAATTTGTATCCACGTTTTGTGAGTTCAATTTAACACCGTGCGCCACGAGCGTATTTTGATAGGATCAATTCGCAATTTTGGCAGAGTTTTGCGGTGAAATTTTTCAAATGGAAAAATTGCAAATTTTCGTGAATTTATTTTTGGGCATTTTGTAAATTTGCTTTAGTTTAATGTGAGTAAAGATTGAACGGAGCTTGAGAATACGAAATGTCGAATTTTTCATCATTCTAATCATTAACATAAAGGCCACGTAATTCTTATTAAATTACTATTTAAATATCCAAGGATTCCTGACATTATTAATTTACTTTTGCATTAGAATAAAAAATCCTATCCAACGGCAATGTCTTCTTGCAAAAATAAGGAAAAAATAATGGCTAAGTTGCTAAAATCGCGCAATTTCGTAAAATCACCATTTCGTTAAACATTTTCGCTAATTTTCATCCTTACGTTACACTTATCAAAGTTATCCTCTAAGAGAGACGATCGGAATCGCAAAAGGTACTCACCTTTTCGAGCTCGAGGAGGTGAAACCGGAGGACCTGGATCGCCTGGACCATCTGCAACAGGAAAAAAAGGAACCGAATAAAATTCGTTCGGCGGGACGGTGCACCGGATGGACACAAAGGACCAAAAGGGCCATACGAACACGGCAAAAGCAACGGAAAGACTTCTACCTCAACCGGGCATATACACATACACATACATATATATATATACACGTTCTCCATAGCAGAGCATAGGAATCGTTGGTAACGAACGATTCTCGACTTGCGTATATCGGTCGCGCCTCCATTTATTTCCCCTCTCTCCAAGTGAACAGAGCAGTAGAGAGAGGCTCCCGCGGACTATCGGTCGATTCACTCCGCGAGGATTAACGGGAATTAATTATTATTGCATCTGCACGCCGCTAATTGCAACCCCCCGAAATTCCGTGTGTGCGATTCGTGGGCGATCGATACACACGCTCTCGAACACCATCGATGATGGTGTGTACACAGGTTCAACGACCGTGACACGATAATCTCGAGTTAGTAAACGAAACACCGCTAGAAAATCCCTCCCTTCTCTCTCTCTCTCTCTCTTCGTTATTTGATAATTACTGAAAAAACTAACGATATCTCGTAATTTTCTCCAACGCACGATCTCTTCTCAAAGAGGATCGTCGTCGTGCCTTTGCTATCTGTTCGGAAACGTTCCACCGAGGTTTCTTCCACGCACACACACACACACACATGGTCTCCTTTTCTTTATTTCTCCGAATCGACATCCCACAGAGACCCATGTGCAGTATATAAATACGAGTTTTTCTAAAGCGGCAACACAACACACGGTCACGTTCACTCCCGTAGAGGTATCGAACGTGCATATTCTCGAGGCCCTCACGGCCATCGGCATAATTTTCCGATACGGCGTTACGTTTAAAGCCACCTCGAAGCCCTCTGCAATCTTCTCTCACTCTCGCTCACTCTCTTTCTTTGAACTCCCCTCTTTTGGTTTCTGTTGCAGGTACAGCTAAGGGGAGCGATCGAGAAGCGCGGTGAGGAAACGTGGCCGCCAGAGGTTCAGAACGCTAGCAGAAGCGGCGATTCAATTAGGCAAAGCGGCAATCTTAATTGTTAATTAACATTATATTTATGCAATTATGGTCCATTATGATTCCGCGCGGCCGATAACGAAGCGACCGCGATGAGTGCTCCCACAGATAGCGAGAGACCGAGAGGAGAGCCTTTCCTCCGCCTCTTTTTCTCCACCCTTTCCGCCGTACCACGATCCTGCTGCTGCTGCTGCTTCTTCTTTCTCGTCCCACAATGTTCGAGGCTTCACGCATCCTACTCGATCGAAGATCGAACACACGGGAGGAGAGGCTCACGTGCGCGGGCAGATACGAACAATTCGCAATCAGCCTCTAATGGAGAACGCGAGTGCAGATGGGTTTTCGAGGTGAAGAGAAACGCGACGGCCGGGTTGTTGAAAAGGGAGTCGTTACGGCGGAATTATTGTAATGGAGAGGCGATACGAGGCTTCGCGTGGAAACTCTGTTAATGGAAGATACGGTAAAAAATACTTGTGGGAACGAGGGATGTCGAGACGAATTTCGGACGAATTTTCTTTAACCCTTTGCAAGGTACGCACGATCGAGTTCTAGAATTAATAATAAATATAAATATCGTATTTTGGGAATTTCTGAAAAATTCGACAACTACCGCAAAGTATTTTTAAATCTAAAAAATTCCGAATTTTCGCAATCTAAGCAGAAAAATTCTAAATAAAGAAATCGCCCCAAAAAAGAAGGCACTCGATGAAAATCTTGTTCCGTAAAAAAGATCTAAAAAATTCCAAATTTCGTTATATCTAAATTCAAAAATCTCACCGAAAGGATTTTCACAATCTAATCACACCTAACGCAGAAATTCCAAATAAAGGAATCCCCAAGAAAAGGAAGGCACCGAATGAAAATCTTGTCCCGTAAAACACAGAAAGAAAACGAAGATTCTAATGCAATAACGAAGAACGCTAATGTTACAATGAAAGGACGTTGTCAGCACGCTCCAACGATGAGATAACAGCGATTCGCTGGATAATAAAGAACCGCCAATTGGACGCCGCGGGCCGGATAACGAAGTGAAAAGTGGCCGCGTTACGCGTCCCGTAAATATCATGCCGAACCGGCCGCGCTCGGGTTATAAAATCGAGGCCCGGTTGCGCTAAAACGGCGCGTAAAAGCGTGGATCACGGCCTGGTAGATCGGATCGAGCGTAATTAAACGCGTGATCTAAGTGTCTCGTTTCGTTCCTGGACAAGAACAACCTGTCTCTCCTTCTCTCTCTACAGTTCTGTCCCAAGCTTCCGCTTGTCCACGAAGAATAAACGACGGAAAAGCGATGATCGTCGCGTACGCTCGTTACTCGCAATTATCGAGCCGCGTAATTGGAAATGAAGGGTTAATCGATGCGTGTTCCGTGGCAGTAAAACGTTATTAGAATATCGTCTCGCCTCTTCTAAGCTCCTTTCTCCTTATCAGAACACACCGGCTCGCGATAGATGCGCCGATAACGATGTAGATTTCTTCGCCATTCTTGGCTAAGAAATCAACTTCTTACCGCTTCTACCTTGCTGGGCATTCCAATATAGGAAGACATATATCATCTAATTTTTCAATTCGACAATTTTACAATAATTAACTTTCTTATCGTTCGAGCACACGGTAGGTACATACTTATTTAATTTCTTAATCTGCTGAAAATACGTCTGTTCACGGGCAAGCCCGCGATCGTCTCTAATCGCCGCGAACAGTCATAAATCACCTTATTTCCAATTTCTCCCCAGTGATTTTACAATAATTAACTTTCTTATCGTCCCAAGCACACACAAGTACGTCGACTTAATTTCTTAATTTTCTCGAAACGCCTCTGTCCGATCGCTCTAATCGCCTGTAAACAGTTCGTAAACTGTGTAAATCATATGTCACCAGCGGTTTTCAATTTCTCCGCGATTCCACAATAATTAACCTTCTTATCATTCCAACACACAGCTACGTCAACGTAATTTCCCAATCTCCTCGAAAAGCACGAGTTGGCGAGCATTCTGATAGTCCGCAATCGCCAATGGACGAGCCAGTCGAGCCAACGAAGAGAGGTTCGAAAGAGTGGGAGTGGAGGTGAAGAGAAGAGAGAAAAAAAAAGACGGACGAAGAAAAAGAGAAGATGGTATCTCGCCTGGCGGTAACGAACGGACGCGCGCAACCCTGCAACCAGCCAGAGCTCGAGAGAGTTGACGAGATGGTGCGAGTCGAGGCGATCCGCCACGACGCATCTCTTCTGGGCTCTCTGCTGTCCGCTCTCGTACAATGTGTCCTCTATATCCAACCACGTTTCGGTTCTGTTGCTCTTGCAAACTGCTCGATGCCAGCCTCCACTCTGCCTCTCTCTCTCTCTCTCTCTCTCCGCCACCCTTCGTTTCCTTATCTCTTCCAGTCTGTTCGACGTTCACGCGTCTTTTCCCCGGCAAGATCGAACCGCGCTCGAGATCTTCGCGTGGTCCGGCATCGTCGAATTCTAACTTCCACGAGGAAGAAGAGCCGCATCGATGTTCCTTCGTGTACAATATCTCCTCTATACTCTACTCTATACATCTCTGTCGCTCATCGTGTTATTCCACGCATCCCCAACGCATTCTTCTCTCGCGATCTCCGTGGAGAGGTTTTGCCACGATCGCTCATCACGTGATATTAATTAGGCTTGCAGCAGAAGCAGAAGCAGTCGTCACGGGATGAAGAGAACCAAGAGGAGGATCAGAAGTAGAGGAGGAGGAGGAGGAGAAAAACTGCGAAACGCGCGAAGAAACCGGGGAGATGGTGTTATTTATAAGCAGACAGGGACGACGCAGTCGGAAGCGACGCCCGACGACGCGGCCCTCCCCGCTGTACACACACACACGCACACGCGCCAACGTACGAAAATGCCCGCCTCTTGTGCTTCCTTTTTCGTCTGTTTTTCACTCTGGAGAACGCCTTTTCCGGCGATCCACACTGCAACACGCTCGCGTATTTGATGCATGCTCGAGATACGAAGCGCGTACGCGCGTAAATGAGCGCCGTGTCGGGGCCCCGCGATTCACGGACGCTGATTTCGCCCGCTTTTTGTCCCTCCTCGCTCGCCCGTTTCGCGATGGTTTCTTTTCGGGAGAACGATGTGCGTGTCTGCTGGGAAGGATTTTCGAGTGGTTTAACCCTTCAACTTCTTGGCTCGACGCTTCATTTTTTTTCTTCGTTGCTCGGTTACTTATTGTTTCAAGTATCCTGGTGAGTGGGAAAAGTGTCGTGTGTCTGTCGTGTTTCGAATTTTTATAATTTTTATTTTCTATTTTTTTCTTCGAACGGTCAAATTAAAGTACCGAATTACACAGAAATATCGATGTGGATTGAATTCTCTATGAGCGTCGTCGATTTGTTTAACGAAAACGTGTTAAACAAATCATTTCCACACGTGTCTCTATGAATGTTAATTCGTAGACGTAACAGAATTCGGTGACATCGAGTGCATAATAGAAAAGAATGAATATTGGAACGAATTCGTAAGAAAATTTCGTTCACCGCTGAGCTGGTAAGTTTTCGACGCAACGACGTTCGAGTAGAATTAATTATAGCAGAGCAGTGCGATGCTTGGAAATTTTCAAGATTAATTTGGCAAAGTATATGGTAAAATATTCTGGTGAAGCGCTAAACGGTGCTGGTGTACGTCGCTCGACAACTTTTGGCGGCCAGTGTCCGCGTTCAATGCCAACTAATTTGCCCGAATTAAAGAGAACGAGACGGATCGCGAGGCCTCGGAATTAGACACGCCGCTCGAGATAATTGGCCATCGGCTTCTCAAACGATATATAACTCTTCTCGATATAATATAGATTCAAATTAGACGTTCGATAAGGCGTACATCGTATAATTCATCCGGCTAATTATTTCGCCGTAGATATAACGAAGAAAAGAAGAGAAAGAAAAAGAGGAAGAGAAAAAGAGTGGAATTTATACGTATAAGACAAAGAAGGGAAAGCAGGCAAC